TATATATATATGTATATGTGTATATATATATGTATATGTGTGTATATATATATGTATATGTGTGTATATATATATATATATGTGTGTATATATATGTAGTATAAGACTAATATTCGCCATATGAAAATAACACCCTTTTCTGGAAATATCATGTAATAAAGAGATGGAGATAGCTAAATATATTTACTCAAGTACTGCACTTAGTAGATTACAGTAGAGCAATTTTAAGGTACTTGCACTTTACTTGAGTATCACCATTTTATACTTGTACATTTGCCCCACTACATCACATCACTACTTCTACTCTATTTCACAAATACATGATGCTACATAGATCATCTGTATACAAAAGATCTGATAACTATTTTAAGGTACACGCTGTATAATATCCATACAATGTTAACAACATTCATAATCATCATCAAGTTACATGTGTATTAATATTTAAGCACTTATACAAGGACAAAATTAGTTTTTTTATCAGTTGTTGATTTTCCAGGGAATCACTCCTCAGCTGAAATGTGTTGTAGCTCTCATGTGTTCCAGCAGGATATTAACATTCAACCGATAATTGTGACATTGATTATGTATGAACTGTCAATACTTCAACAGACAGTCCATCTGTCCGCCCTGCAGGACATCTGCCACCCGCAGCTTGGTCCTTTTCTACTATCAGACACATTTTTTATGAATGTCAACCTCGCCACATTGTGCACTGCAGTGAAGGCAGCTCTGCAGGTTGTGTATGTGTGTGTGTGTGTGTGTGTGTGTGTTTAGGGGTGGGGGGGGCAGCTTGTGCGTGGTGATGATGATGATGCGCGTGACGCCACGAGCAGGAGCGGATCAGCGGAGCAGCAGACAGGACCCGGGCCGAGGCAGCAGCAGCAGCAGCAGCATCCGCAGCAGCAGCGCCGCCACAAAAGGAGCTCAGTGCTGCTTGAGGTTCGACTCTCCGCTCCTCCTCTCCAGGGTTTGAGATGCTGCGGCTCGGCGGCACGATGTGCGGCTTCTCGGCCATGATCTCGGTGCTTCTCGCCGGACTCGCGGCGGCGTCTTCGGATCTGTTCGACAACCAACTGGGCGACATCAATTACTGCAAAAGGCAATGCCAGCTCACCATCAAAAACAAAAGCCCCGCTAAAGTAAGTTATTCCTGTGTGCCGTAGCGTATAGGCTGCCTCTGCAGAAAGCGCATTATCAGCAACGAGCTGAAACCTCCTGCTGTCCGACATTTCAGCGCCTGCACCGACATACAGACGAACACACTGTGCTCGGTATCGAAAAAAAACCCCTCCGTATTCATATGAAATATATAAAGGGAATGTGTTTATGTCCGTGCGTAATGACACGCTCGCTCCGATTTTTCGCTGCATCTTCTCGGATGCTACGGCGCACAATTAGGCCGAAAGATGGATGCAGCTCATTTTCTTCTGCACCTTCCAGACTCGTCCGAGAAGTGACCTGCGTCCAGTCAGCTCATCTCGAGATGCTCTTGCATTGAATTGCGACAATAATTGATCATTCCGTAATACGCAATTAAAGATGGGCCATGCAGGGAAGGTGTAGCGCGGGCTGTGGAGGATCAGTGAGACTATTGTGAGCCATGAAACAATGATCCTTTATTGACAGATACCACAGCATCTTTCTGCTTACGATGCCGGACTGGACAGGGTGGGAGATGATGGCTGTGAATCTCACCAAGAGTTTCTGTGGTTTAGATCCTTTAGAGATTTCCAGTGTCGGATGTCCCCCCCCCCCCCCCCCCTCCCCCTTCTCTGCTGCCTTCAGGTGTGGTTCAGGCATCCTGCAGGGCAGCAGGAGCAGAGCTGCAAAGCGGTTCACAGTCGCCTGCTTTGGAGGTTGTGATTCAAAACGAGCCACTTGAGCGTGCGTATTTGTGGCAGTATGTCGAGTTTAAGGCCAACAGACCTGGTTCAGTAACTACAGAGATGTTGAATAAGCCGTCGCCTCCAAACTAGGAGGCAACGTTTCATGGTTTAAGATAAACACCCCTCTGAGAATAAACAGGGACACGCAGTGAAGATGATGTCAAGCTCAAGGCTGTAAAAAACAAAAAATCCTCGGTCAGGGACACTCTTTGTTCCCAGAGAGGTCACCAGAGGGTGCTGTTCCCCTCTGTCAACCCGAGAATGAATGCATTATGACAAGGGGAAGTACAGTAATGTGCATCTTCCTTTCTCACTACCTTTCCCTCTTATCAACTGTTTATGACATGCTATTATTCAACAGCTGCACTGTGTCATCTGGAGATGCCACAATACATCATGTTTTCTAACAAGCGTATATCTTAGAGTTTATCCAAGAGTGCGGGAGACATCTATAATTTTGCGTCTCCCTCTCTTCTCTCCGTCTGGCTGGTAGGACTCCATAATGAATGCCTGTCACCGCGGCTGTCGCCTCTACTCCATTTGCCAGTTTGTCAATGGCAATGCCGGCTTCAATGCCAGCAGGGAGGAGTGTCAGGGAGGTGAGTCAGTGTGTCAGTCTGTCTGTTGGACTGTCTGTTTGATTGAGTCCGCATGGTCTTACAGAGCAGGCCGAGGCCAGAGTTGAAGCTGCCGAGGCCTCAATGCTTTTTGAGAAAATGTATATTTTGTGTCAATGCCTCACTGTGTGGAAGTGAGTGGGATCATTCTTTAAAAGGCACCATATCTATTATTAAAACATAATTAAAGGTCCACCAGCAACAAATTCACTTTTTTAATGCAGCAACAAATTGGTCAAAACTTGAACAGGAATTAAAATTCCAATGTAATGTATATAGAATTGAATTGAATAGATCGGCCCCATTGTCACCGATACCCAATCCAACTATGTGAGTCAGTATTTTGGACCGATATCCAATATTGGTATCGGTACATACTCTTTTTTACCAACACAGCAGCTCTGCTAAATATTTGCTCTGTTTCCGGAAAGCTGGCAGAATCGGTGGTTATTTCCTGGCTGTTTGAGGCTATTCGCCCTGTTTGAACTGCTGTATTGGAAATCAATGAGGTGATTTACCGTCCAGACAGCGGATGCCCCGTTGCCCCCCATTTTTTATCACGGCGACGTGGAGAGTATCGTCTCCGCGGTCGCCAACAGTTACATCTCCCTTGTATCTTTCTCTTTCTTCCCACATAAACAGCCTGTACCTGTTTTATTTCTTCTTATCGTCCACCCAGCTGACTGCAGTGCTCCATGTGCCCACTCGCTTTTGTGCTTCTGTCTTTCTCTTTTTTGCACTCTCGACCACCTTTTCATCATGCTTCTTCTTCTTCTTCTTCTTCTCTCTCTCCCTCTCTCTCCCCAGCCTGCCAGGAGGCATATATTAAGCTGCTGGAGCAGGAGGCCTGCTGCACCGGCTGTGCCAGTCAACCCTCTGAACCTGAGCTCAAGAGGAGGAAGGTGAGGAAAAATGCTAATACAGCTATAAGAGCCAAAGTGACTTAGGATGTCTGAATGTTAATATCAGTACGTGCACATACAGTATACCGAAGCACACACACACACACACAAATAAATCTCCTTGTATTAGAGTATCTTGCGCTCTCTTCCGCAGCTCAGGGCCATGACTCTCCGCCCTAAGCCCGCCTCTGTGATGGAGGCCGTTTCCAGTTGGTGCAACGACATCGTCAGCTCTGCCCAGAGCTTCATCTCCTCCACCTGGACCTTCTACCTGCAGGCTGATGATGGCAAGGTTGTGGTTTTTCAGGTAAGACCCAGTCAAGTGTTTTAGCAGTGATTATTATTTTGCTTCACAAAAAGCATTTATCTTGTCCATGCTAGGTTTATAGATAAATGGTTCAAGTTATATTCCGCAAAATGAGGATAATGATTCATGTAATCGCACATTGTCTGCACTCTGTTGACATCTTATATAATGTGATGGTGTTTTAACCTAAACCCAGCTCCTAAAAGTCTACACATGTGCTACACATGATGTGTTTTGGGGTTTCTGGCAGCAACAGTTTTCGTTGATGATTATTAGATTAAACACTATGTGTTTGCGGTGAGCAGCAATGCTTCCTTTGGAAAAAACTCAACCTACACTGATCTAATCTTCATTCACAAAAAAATCCAGAAAATATCCTATCCTATCAGTGTCAGTGAACAAATGCAAAGAGAAACACGATACACCATGTTTACACTGTGAATGTGTGAATATGTGTGTTTCTTTGTCTATGTTAAATTAAGAGTCACACGTTGTAGCAAATATTCAACATTTCTAAAATGAAGCTGCAGAACAGCAAAAATAAATTCTGAATATCTGCACTTTTAACAGATTTAGACCTTTAAGTGCTTCGCTGCAAAAGACACAGACAAATGAATCCTAAAATCTCCATAAATCAACTGTCCTCATGCACTATATTATGGCTCATGAGTCAAGATGGTGGAAAATTACAAGATTGATGTCGACAAAGCTTTTTCCTGTCGCATGTTTTTAGCTGGAGGTTAAAAGCAAGCCAGTAGACCTTTATATATTATTAGTTGAGCTAACCTCTGCTTCCTGTTAAGATAAAGAAATATATCCTCTCGGCTATGCGGTGCCGTAGAGCTTGGGTCACTGCCAAAACAACTCGCAGCCCATTTTGGAGTCAGTGCATCTGTGAAGGTTGAGTGAGCAAGGGCACACAGCGGGGTGGGGACAAGGTGGCTGAATCCAGAGAGCTGCAACCATTTTTTCAGCGCTTTTAATTGTTTATAAATGTCCTTCCATATTATGTCACTTCCCTCAGCAACCATGCATATTTGATAACCGGCAGGGCTAGCTGTGGTGAGCTCGACTCAGGACGGAACGTCAACCGCTAGATTTAGAAGAGAGTGGACTGCACTGAAGAGTAAAGCTCTGTTTGTGACAGATAAATATTCAGGAGTTGTTTCTGGAATTTGAAAAAGACGAAGTGAATTGAGCTGACAGGCCCACTGTTCATGAGCACCCCCCACCAAAGGAGGTTATATTTAGGCCCCGTGGGTTTGTCTGTTTATTGAATAAGAAATTGTGAAAGTGGTTGAAAGCTTGGCCAGTAATCATTTTTTGGTCTGGATCAAGGATTTGAGCTGCAGGGCTTTTTCGCTACTTATTTGAGTCATTTCATGTTTACTTTCATGCAGAGCTTGATCCAGATGCAGATCTCACATTTATTTACATTTTCTATTATTGAAATGGAAAATCTGGATGTTTTTGCAGCCATTGCAGAATAAAGCTCTCTTGTTGAACTTGAACATATTGCTAAGGTGGATGCAGTAAACCACCTATACATTAAAGCTATAATAAGAGTTGGTCTGTCGAACCACCAGTCTATCTAACCATGTCCTCCAAAAACTGGTCAGAAACCTGCATCTCTGTCGGGGGTTTTCCCGTTTGATGGCAGTTTTAGCTCCGTAATGAAAGAGCTCAGTAGGAAATGAGAGTATTTATGCACCGTAACCAATACAGACGAGCTACTGTATAACAGAGGAGTCCTTTATATAATGAGATTCACTATTAGGTATTAAGAAGCTGTCTGCCTACTGGGCTCTCTGAGGCACCATCTCAGATAGAGATGCGGCAGCCACAGAATATGAAATCACCAACATTTCTTTCGGACGTAGTGATGGATGTTTGCTCTTTATGGAAGTGACATGCAGGCTGAAGCGGCGAGGGGAAGCCAGGCTCCACGGGGTTGTGAGAAGACTACCAGGCCTGTGTTTAGTGGGCAGCTGGCAAACCGCCACCAAGTTGACAGATTGACTTTCCGAGCGTTGAGACAACAGAAAAAGTCCAGCTAAATTGAGCGACAGGATATCCATAAAGGAGCTGGCTGTCTTTATATATCCAACTTTGTGTGACCTCAAGTTGTGAGAATGACTAGTTGTGTGCATCATAAACAAACATTAGTGGCAGCAGTTAGTTCAGATTATATGGGTGGAGTAAGTCATATTTAGGTCACCACTGGGGTTTGTCTCAGAGGGAAGGAAAAAGAAAATAAAGAAAACTTGTAATTTTGAGGAAATATTGGTAAAACACAGCCCTTTACCTCAGTCATTTCCTTCTCACCACCGCCTGTGTTATTTTGACAAATCAGCGCATGATAGGCAGACAGAGTGAGAGTGTTTGGGACAAAAGAGAGTCGATTAAAGACTTCCTCCAACTGAGCTGTGGTTCCGTTAGCAGGCTGGCACTGCCGAACAAATTGAACTCGGTGTACGGCTGAATACAAAGAGAGAAGTCCTTACCCCATTTCTTCTTGGCAATTGCATTCGTCATTCTGCCCGAATGAATAAAATAAGCCCCGTTCAGGATGGAGAGACCCGGTGAAATAACAGTGTTTGAAGGAAGCGTGACTTTGACTTATGATGCTACACTGAAAAAGGAAGTCAGTGTTCTTTCTCATCTACGCTTAATCATCCAGGCACAGGAGACTTAAAGTGACTTAAGCACGAACATTACAAACACTATGTGAAGCACAGTCATGATTTATGGTATTATGGTCTATTTATTATGGTCTATGTTTGATCTACCTACCGTGTCTATTGTCTTCAGTAGGAACTTCAGTATACACTTTTATAATTGAAGGAAGATGTCATTTGGTTTGGACAACAATGGAGGAAGAAGCTATACCAGGATTTTGATACTTGATACTTTGATACTAGTAGGATACATTTATTGTGGGTTTTGGTATTTTCATGAGATGTTTTAACAAAAAGAGAAATACGGAATATCACCAGACTTGTCTTTTAATCCTGAAGTACTTGTCTTTCATGCTGAGGTGCTAAACCCTTTAACCCTTTGTTATTGTTTTTGTTATTTCTATACACTTTTTGTCTACTATGATACGACACACCAAATGGAAGTATAAAAAGTCTTAATTGACCAGATGGGGGCGCTGTAATAACAGAGATTAAGATTTAAGGCCTCCAAATTAAAGGGGACATTTCATTCTTTCTTTCTTTCTTTCTTTCTTTCTTTCTTTGTCTTCCCTCACTCTTTCTGTAAGCCAGAGCACCTTTTTGCATTCCCTCTCTCATAATGCATGACAGATGCAGATCAGGCTCCGCTCATTCTGATGGTTGGGGCTCTTCAGTCTGCAGCCAATGAGAATCATTCCCCTCAAGTCTCCCCAAACCTTCACACTGCCGCTGCATCTGGTTTCAATGCACCCTGTCAGAAAGCATTGCTCGCTAGGGGTAATAAACCCGGTTGTGAAATAACGTTTTCAACAGAAGGATTGAAGGATTGAAGGATTGTTAGGGCTTTGGGAAGCAAACTAACCAGCCACGTCTCCACGGCCGACTGCAGTATGTGGCTTTGTTATTCTGGACAAGTGATTGGAATCATTCCGGAGAAAGCAGATAAATAATTTCCTAAGTAAAGTAATGAGAATGAATGAAACAGTGAATGATTTTCAGCTGGTTTGACATTGTAGTGCATGACACAGCAAGAGATTTCAGAGTTCATTGATCCACTTAATGTCAGGATCGATAAATACTGGGAGGTTGATGCTACTGCAGTGGGATATACTGTACTCCTTAAAATACGCGCGCGCGCGCGGGTGTGTGTGTGTGTGTGTGTGTGTATGCATGTGTTTTGTTGCTGCTGAGGCCAGCAGTAGTATTGTTACAAGCGGAGGGAGGGTCAACAGTGGGGATCCAAAATCCTCTTTTAATGAGTTCTCCAGGGGAAACCAGAAACACTTAGAACATAATGAAACCCACAACAGCGCAAACACTGACAGCAGGCTGTGTGTAGCAGTTCTTTTAAAAGACATTTCCTTTTGAGGGTTTTACTGAACTGGTTTGGGTGAGTGAGAAAGATACTGTGAGAGACCTTCCAACGTATACGAAGGATGTTAGTTAAGTTATGCAACATTCTAAATGCTCAAATTATTATGAATCATCTTGCTTGTGCTTAGATTGACGAGAGAGACAAGAAGGGCGTTTACAAACTGCAGCAGCCGACCTTTTAATTCCCTTCAGCTGATGTTTATAGCCGTCAACATACTTTTATTTTCTTTGTTATAACTTGGCCACCTCACCATGATCTGTGACGCTTCAGGCTGAGAACAAGCCTAACACTGTTCCAGCTCAAGGGCTGGAGACGTTTGGCCAATCCTGACCTCTGACCCTTCTGTGGAACAGAGCCAACAAAAACAGCATTTTGGGTTTTTCACGTTATTTGAAGTGTCCAAGTTCAATGTCCAACTAATTATCAAGTAATGCTTTACATAAAGTCAACTTGTCTGGGTTTGATATTGTTCTTCCTGTAACATGAGATGACTATCAGCTGGGTGTTGCATTTAAATCTACTATATATATTAGAACTTAATATTAATCAATGTCAATCTTTTAATCAAATGTGTGTTTTTTTTTCAACAATAATGTGATGTTAAAGGAACAGCTTGACTTCTCGAGAATCAAGGTTTGACCCCAATTATGTCTGAAGGCGACATATTAGCCTAGCTTAGCATAAATGCCGAAAACAAGGAGAAACAGCGAGCCTGACTCGATCCAAAGGATGCTTATGATTTTGCTTTTTTCTCCTCAGAGCCAACCAGATATGGAGTACTCTCTGCCTGAGCTGCAGGCTCCTCGATCCAACGTGGCGGACAAACCTTGGCCTCAGGTCCACTCTCACACCCAGAGACCCCATGGTGAGAACACACACACACACACACACACACACACACACACACACACACATTTATCTATGTATAGCAGCACATGCATATATTGCTGCAAAATTCACTCATTAGCATTCAACTATTTTATGAACTGTATGGCAGGTGTGAGGGGACATGGTGAGAGGGGAGCATCCAAAGCAGGAGGCAAAGGGAAGCACCCCGCCCAGCACACAGACGACCCCACAGCTGAGCACGACTTCCTCGGCTGCATGTCGAGGTGAGCTGGAGCTTGAGTTGCCCTGCTGACGACTTAACGACTTAAAATGAGAGAACTAATGTCCCCCCCCCCCCCCCATAAAATATACTTTATATTGCTGACAATCATTTCTTAAGCAAATAGCAGGCTTCTTTGTCTGACTTCCAGTTTATTGTCAGCATGAAAATCAACTTGCAGAGACTTAAATTTAGCTAATCCATCACACGCATCTGATTCTATTATTCTCACACTTGTGATTATTATATATATATATATATATATGCTTGGAGAAGGGATTTAAAGTAGTTGGGGATTGCAACATTTATAACATGCAAATTCAGGCTAGTTATATTTGTTGGCGCCTTCATGTTAAGTTTCTCAGTATTTCTATCCATCTTCAGTTTCATCCCATAACTCTCGTTCTGCAGACGTTCAGGCCTTCCGCGGTGGATTTTAGCGGCGTGTCTCTTCCTGTCCATCATGGTCATGTTGTGGCTCAGCTGTGCCAGCCTCGTCACCGCACCAGAGCAGCACATCAAGACGCAGGTACGCACACCGAAAAGCATCCACAACCAATGTATACACATGCACGAGTGAGGGAAGCAATCACTTCACACGCTTAAAGGGGACATGTCATGAAAACTCACCTTTTCAGTGCTTGTGTGCATGCACTTCTTCAATTAGAGTGTTTACCAAACCACAAAGTTTTAATTAACAACCCAGTCAGTTTTTTGTGGGCTGCCTAGATCAGAAAACTCCCCTTCCTGTGTGTCACCTTTGGCTCATTAGAGTAAACCGGCTTCCATCTGAGTATCTTTACCCACGGATTGAGAACTACCGTTGCAAAGGTGCACCGTATTGTTCTCGCAAGCCGATCAGAGCACACAGGGCTTTTTCGAGAGGGGGCCTTAAAGAGACAGGCACTAAAACGGAGCGTTTATGACAGAGGGTGAATACAGGTTTTTGAACATTAAAGCATGTAAACATGTTCTAGTAAAAAAGTATGAACCTGAAAATGATTACATGTCCCCTTTAAGTTCCACACATAAATTAATTGGTGACTCAGCATATTTTGCAGAGCACTCTAAGTACAAATAATGATTGGGGAAGTGTTGTAGGTGAACTTGCTCACTATTATCACTTGTTTTCTTTCAGCTGAGTATCAACGGAGATAAAGAGTTTCTGGATAATGTCCACAAAGTCAACCCGTACCACCTGAGTCCTGTGATCGCTGTGACCATGAAAGAATCGGAGGAGAGCCAGGAGGCGGGGCCGCTGCCGGTGAAAGTTGACCTCAACAAAACCTGCGTTTAGAAAAAGGACCAGTGGGAGAGCTGCTGTCTTGTTTCCCAGGATAAACCATGTCTGAAATCCGTGGCCCGTCGGTGCAAGGGGTAAAACAAACACATCACGGGACTCAAACCAGTCACCAGAATTTTTTTAAACATATTTTTAAGAGCATGGCACACTTCTGTCATTTTTCAAATTATGATACTGAAACATCTAGCTTGGTCTTGTTGGTCTGAAGGCATTTCATTTCCTTGTCCATCCTCAGATTATACTTAATGATCAGCCTGCTCATTGCTTATTGATAATTCAATGCTCTTGTCTCAGAGCCACGCTGATGACAAGCAGAAAAGGATGGATTACAGCTGAGAGCTTTCATATTATTTTTCATGTCTAGCGTGGACGAGAGAAGACAAACGCTGAGAATCATTCTAGATTTAGTTTTGCCTCGTTCTCACAGAGAGTTTGGATTAATTGATGTTGTCGCTGAGAGTGAAAATAATGGAGAGTGAGAGAGAGAGTAAAGGAAGATGGATGGAAGGTTGGGCTAAATACTTTGACAGCACTCTTGTGAGCGCTGCATGAATCATTAATAATTGAAAACCATGTTTTCTCCTTCACAAGGTTAAAATAAAATCTCAGGCGAGCTACACATTCTCACTGAGTTCAAAGAAACAAAGGCATACTCACTCCAAGAACTAAAACAGTGTCCTTTGTCAACGTATTCCTCTGTTTGTTAGTGTATATTTGGACGTGTCTGTGTGTGAACATCTACAACGGCACGCAAATACTTCAAACTGGTAGATTCTAAACTGGAAGTGGATTGAAAACCGGACGCTCTGTCTGAGAATGAGCAAAATGAACAATCAGCTTATTTTCTACTCTATTTATTCAGACTCATCGACGTGGGTTATCTGTTAAATAGTGTTATTGAAATGCCATGTACAGTTAATTCATCATTCAAATGTAATTGTATGTTAAATACGTTGTAACACAGATTGGAAAGAGACACATCGAGGGGAGATTGCACCTATTACTGTATTATTATTATTATTATTATTATTATTACTCTTATATCACTCCAAGAGTTCTTAGCTGTTATATGTGCCACGTGCTTTCTAATAGCTGCCTATTTTGTATGTCCTAGGAGCACACACTGACGGATGACCTCTGTAACATTGTGTAATGCAAAGCTTTTAACATAGACCGTTGTTATTGAACAAAGTTGCGCAGTCTTTAGAGAAGATTTTTCTGTTTTCCTCTCAGTGCTTTTGATGTCCTGTAACGCTCTCTTTTCACCCAGGCTATGTAGACAATAAACCGTGCATGCAAGTGACGCTTCGATAGTTTAGCTTAAACCGCCCGCCATGCCAGTATGGCAAGACTCTACTGTAGACTTGTGATTTTTTGTGTTACTATTTACTGTAAACATTGAATAGAACGTGTAATAACGGATGACGATTACCTCGTGATTTACGGGAAGGACTCTTGATTAAAAAAGCCATTCAATAATTATCTGCGCTGGTTCAAACTGAAGGTATATCACAAGGAGTATGATATGAATTTCAAAACTGTATTGTTTCCTTTTTACTGGTCTGTTTATTTTCAATCAAATGATACTTACAACATGAAATAAAGTGTTTTCATTGTAAATAAATGAGAGTTCAGTGGCTTGTTTTTTTTTTTACATTAAAAAGAAGGATAAATAAAAACAGAATAATGCCAAATAGACGTTCGACGTTATACACTGTAGCTAGAGTGTGCATTTGTGTGAAACAGAAATATAAAGAAGTTAAAAAGAAAGAGTTTTAGCCAACATAATAGCAGGATGGATAGCTAAATTAATATTTCCAAAAGTATGTGGACACGAGAACATTACACCTTATCCCAAAACCATTGGCTCACCAGTGTCCACTCTTCTCTGAAGGCTTTTCTCGTCGGCCCCTGATGTTTGCTGATAAGGCCTCAGGCTCTCAGGCAGCCTTCTAAGTCATCTTAGAAGGTGGTTGGTGGGGTTGAGATCAGACTCTCTGCAGGCCAGTCAAGCCATTTTACATCAAAGTATGTGAACATCCTCAACCTTCTTTTAAAAAAAATCACATTATTCCTTTTAGCACTGATGATTTTATATTTTGAAATCTGTTCCCACCAACCGTGACGTTCTCCCCCACTCTCTGACGATTCAATCCTCAACATGTAATAAGCGCTGCTGTCCACGTGGTGGCAGCATAGCGTCAGTATTTCTTAAACCACCTTGTTGTGAGCTCACCTGAACTCAAGTGATACATTTAATAATTGTACTTCAGATAAAGTGTTTTTATTATATTGTTAACACTGTAGAATGTCAGGGAGACAGGTTCTTTCTCTGGCTATAGATGACAGATGTTTGCTGTTCATGTTGTTGTCATGTGTCATCTCACTACAGAGCTGCACAAGAAGCTGAGGTGGGCATAATAGTCAAGAAAAATAATGCGTGACATTTACTCTACAAAACACATTGAGTTTGTGTCTGAATGGATGAAAAATGGTCACAGAAAACATAACAGATGAGAGCAGCCGCTGCTGCATCTTCAAGTGAAGGCAATTTTTGCAGCTGGGGCAACTGCTGAGAGAATAAATGAAGCACCTGCCAGCTTTTACCTGCAGGAGACAAAAACATGGGATGGTGTTCTTATGCTTAGAGAAATCTGAGAGTTGGCACTTGCATTTGGGATAAAATCATGAAGTTTGTCATTCAGAATCTCTCCACCAAAAGTGTCGACATTTGATTCACGACACGCACGCTTAATTCCAAAAAAACTGCTCACAAGTTGTTTGCAGGGCTGAACGGTCCTCAACTTGTACTGAGGCTGCACAGAAGAGTAGCTTCATCTGCATTACAATCTGATGCTATGCAGAAAATCCGTCTGAATGAATCTACTACACCACACATCGTTCTCTCTGCACTCACCTGTAACTGATAGAATTAAGCCCTTCAGGTTCATTTGAATAAGCTTCCTCCAAAAACAAGATTCACTCAAGAAAAGAAAAAAACTGAAATCTGCATCGGCTTCTCTGTCATCGCGTCAATAACAGACCAGATACAGTGAATACATAATCAAACACAAACCAGGGGCAACACAACAGAGCTTCCAGTGCATGTGTCCAATTAGCATACCATGCTGGCTGGCTGTGTGAAAGACAGACAGACGGAAGGAAATATCAAAAGATGCCTCCTTGTTGTCAGCTGTGACACATAATCAAAGGAAAAGAAGCTTCTCTACAAGAGGGTGTTACATTACATTACCCTCTGATGTCTTGGCAGAGGAAAAAAAAGTGCAGCGTGGAAAGTGTGGTGCTGCTGGTCACCAAACGTACCGTAGGTCTGTGAAGGCAGCACCGACACTCCCCATTAACCACAGGTGATGACTATTAGTACAAGCCTTTGGTGAAGCAAAAGCAATCAGAGGATTTGTGATCTCCGGACAAACCAGGATTGAGAACAACTGGCCTAAACTAAGTTTTCAGCGCAAGAACATCCTGAGACTTTTTGTTGTTTTCTCATGTCAGGTCAATTCCTCCAGCTGTTGTTTGGGCAGAGGATGAAGAATTGATGCTTTTTGACCTCCTTTTCAGCCAACACACAGAAAATGCCAGCTGGATCAGAGCTCAGACTTGTCTGCCATACATTCAGACACTTTAGGTAAAGAGAGAAAAATTGACTGCTGTAGTGCCACTTCAGTAACTTGACCGTGCCCGGCCTTCGCTCTGTGCTCAGTGAATGAGTTTGGCAGCAGCTGGGCTCCCATTGATGATGAACTGGAGAGAGAACGAGAGAGAAAGGTAGGGGGTCTCGTGTGTGTGTGTGTGTGTGTGTGTGTGTGTGTGTGTGTGTCACCGATCTGCCTAAAAATACATCCCACGTTAGTGTGTGGAGGTGGTGGAGGAGGAAAAAACGAAAAAGATTAGGAACGAATTGTACTTTTCACACCGACATGTTGACTCATTAAATGCAAATAGGGCCCTGTTGTCGCACTTTCTCTGTCAGTGTTTATCTGTTGACGAAGGGGATTTTATGGTCACTGCAGCCTCAAGCTCGGGACAACACACACACACACACACACACATCATTTGCACTTTAAACAGTGTGTGGACCACCATCAAGCAAACCTTACGTTCAAACAGGGCCTTAGCCATAATTTCATATATATCAATACTGGGGTGATGAGTCTAAATACTCCCAGCACAACCCCACTCCCACTTAGAAATATTTGATTAGACACAAGGCTTTCAGGAATACAATTCTGGCAGGAAAAAAGCTTTTTTTTTTCCAAGTGCTGAGGTAACAACGTAATCAACACTGAGAACATGTCCACAGTGGTGAAGCTATGGGCCCCGGCTCCAAGTTATTACCAGCTGCGACAACGATGCTGGTATTGTTTTCACCTTGAGAGTTTGTGAATGACTCATCATAGCCTCATGTGGTCCTGGAAGCAACTACCGTAACAGGAACTACCGCAGAGGTTTGAGTACTTTGCCAGGTGTTTATATGTCTGTGGGCAGATTTTGTCACTGCAATAGCGCCACAACTGTGCAAGATGCAGTCACGACATTTTACAGGTGTGTAGTTGGGATCAAAATGAAGGCCGAGTGTGGTCTGAGCAAGGGCACTGGATGGAGGGGGGTAGGGAGGGGGAAGTTGGCCCTCGGCATAGCTGCTGGTGTGATCCCATTACAAGATGGTCTATTGTTCTCTTTGACCCCTTATTATATCTCCTTTCCCTGACTCATCTTCATCATCACAAAGGAAAACAGTTGTTGCATCTTGAGTGCCCTGCACAAACGCAGGAGCTCGACCAGCAACAAGGACCCCTGTCACTTGGGGTGTTGCTCCACCAATCACCCACAGGGGGTGCTATGGATCCAGGTTTGAGTGCTGGTGGCCCCATTATTACAATTTAATGGTTTATGTGAGCGAAGAGGCAATGCGCTCTCTCTCTCTCTCTCTCTCTCTCTCTCTCTCTCTCTCTCTCTC